CTTGCTGCAGTAAAAGCCAGAGAATGGGACAAGCAGCTGGGGATGGGATTGGGGTGACTGTCCATGGTCTGGGCACCTGGACACACCTGCAGGTGGGTATCTCTTAAAGCTGTGCTTTAAATGTAATTTTTTCTTTTTTGTACATAAATATTAGTCAAATACTTACTTCCCATTGAAAGTCATCCTGAAGGTCAGGACTTGGGTGTTTAACTCCCATTTGTGTCTTTGAAAGCTTCCACTTTTCATTTTGCCAGTAGACAGCAGCATTCCAGTGGGCCCAGCTAATTTTGAGGTACTCAACAAAAGGAAAAAATCTATAATGTGAAAATGCTGTTAAATTTTACAAACCTGCTTTGCAATGCAAAACTCATTCACAGCAAAGAAGTTGAATCAAAGGCTCACCACTGCCAACTAATTATTTAATGTTCTCCAGCTAATGTTGTTATGCTGCCAAAAATATGTTTCCATCTTTTTCTTTCCTCATTAGAGAAGGATAAGCTTATAAATTACTTTTCTGCTTGAGCTGTTTGATTTGGACTAAATTTTCTTTTGTGAAGCTACAAGCCTTCTCTCTCTGTTCACCCCAAACTTGGAAAGAATGGCACATCATCTCTTTGTTGCTGAAACTAGAAGCAAACACATTAAATTGGGTTTTATCATACTTTCCAAACAAAATATATTAAAAATCTTTATATGAGAACCCAGAGACCAGAATGAATGCGTGACTGCTTGTTTCTAAAAGGCTTTGAATATAATGGTACAAAATAACATCGTAGTTGGTTGCTTGTCAAAGACTTGATTTACCTTCAGTTTGCTGGTGTTGTAAACCATTAGAAGTGCTGTAAGATTGCTGACAAGTAGCTTAAAAAAGGCTTTTCTTAGCACACACGTGAGAACAAACCCTGGAATTGAGGTGCAGGTCGGAGGTGCTCAGGGTAAAGCAGGGAGTTCAAGACCTGAACACAGATGCCCCTCAGTACCACCTGCAGCTTGTGGCTTTGCTGCACACCAGGATGGACAAACACTGGCACTCTGTCCTTGTCAGTCAGGGGCTGTTGATGCGAGTGCAGGTAGGATTCCCTGGATTTGATCCTAACATCCTAAATTCGTGCCATACATGTCCCCTTGTTGCAATATCCAAAGATAAGTATTTTCTAGTACAAGTTCATTTTTTGGACAGCTTGTAGCTGTCCCAGCTGGAGCTAGGAAGTCATCAGCTCTTGCAAACAGCATATTTCAGTCTGGTTCAGAGACTGGGAAAGAAAGAAAGAAAACCCAGGATGTTACAGGATGTTACTGCTGTGCTTTAGTAAATAGTGCTATCCTTCTGTTTCAGTGCCATGCTGTGCTTCCCTCAAAAGGGACAGAGAATTGGTTGGATTACATTCCAAAAGACCTGCTTTCCCTCACTCCCACCCAGTTACTTGTGATCTTGAGGTCTCAGTGGGATCTGTGACTGACAGCTACACCATGAGGCACCAGCCAGCTGCTCTGCGCAAGAATTCCAGAGACCCTTGCAGCCCAGATTCCCAGCTTTAACTATCACTGCAAACAGAATCTGTCCTCTCAGTCTTGCTCCAGGTTCTGACCAGCCCTGTGTTAAGCTTGTCAGATTCCTGGAGATCACAGGTGAGGAGAAGACACCCGTAAGGTGATGTGGTTTACAGGCTTCCTGTGCACCAGGGCACAGCAGAGCAATGGTTGGAAACAAGGGCAAAACACTGGGAAAAACAGAAGTATTTTTATCCAAACAGGTAGTGATCCCTTACATATCCTTAGTGCAGAGACAGCTGGCAATAGTCAACTGGAAGTAATACCACACTTCAGCTAAAGCAAACCTGAATTTATTGAAACAGAACTGTTCCTATGAGTAGGAAGCATTTGTATTTGTTTTGAGAAGTAAAGCCAGCAGGAGATTCCTTTGGGCTAAGAGTCAAAGTCTGAGATCTTCAAACTAAGGTCTCATTACAAGGCATTTCTAAAAATGTGCAAATAATCAGTCTGTCATATTTTTGGCAGAGCTTTACTTGTATCGCCATAGTGAATGTGACAGTTTTAGTGCATGGAACTGGTCAGTCAAAGAAGTAATTGAGGAATTAAACTATTGTAGTTGGATTCTTTTTGGCTAAATTCAGCATAAAACACTTTGTGAAAGTAAATGTCTTTAATGGCACTGGCAGAAATGAAGCTAGAAAATGTTTGCAGTAGCTCAGAAACAGATTTGTGGAGTTTGTTGCTGGTCTTACTTTTCATTTACAAGGACACTCTGGATAGAAGCAGCTTGTTTTAAAATGCATTAAGTAAGACATGATTTAAAAAGAAGTTCAGAAATCATTGCAGAGATGACTAAAGATTTTATTTTGTAAACTGTATACTTTATTTTAAAATGCTGCCAAGTATTGATTATGGACTTTAAAAAATCCAAAGGACAGAGAACCTAAGTCAGGGACAGGATATTAATAGACATATTATCAGGTAAAAATAACAACTAATGTTTTGGAAGAGAGGGCATTTTCCTATTAGTTCACCAAATGCCCTATAAGCAATACACTAAACTCATCTCTTCCACTCTCTTTGCTTTCTGGTTTACCACGTTTCCCTAGTGCAGCCTTGGAAGAGAATGAAAGGCAGAAATAGCCGTAGGGTTTGTACCAAATCCCTCTGTGCCTTTGACACCTTTTGTTTCAAATTCCTGCTGCAGTATTTGACAGAGATGAGTCTGCCTCCAGTTAACATAATAGCCCATGCTGTACATAAAGGTATTCTCTGTCTGGGCATTAGTGAGCAGGGAGGGCTGAACTGTGCCACTGCAGGCAGCTTCCAGTTGTTTCCTTGTACAGCCTGCATTGGAGGGAGCTGTCCTGCTGGGACCTCCCAGTGAATCTGCTCCACTGCAGTTGCTTACATGCAGAAATGTTTAAGGTGATTTCCAGCTGTCCTTTGATGTGTACTAACAGGTAGATCCTGCAGGGAGACACAGTGTCATGGACACAAAGATCTGTTGGGAAGCCACGTTCCTTCCAAAGGGCATTTTGTTCTCTGGGCTCCTAATTAGTGCTTCCTTTGGGCAGCCTTGCTGTCTGGGAGCTGTTCCCTGTGGCAAGCAGAGGTGGAAGATCTGGTACATCTGGATGCACTGAAGCACAGTCACATATGCTTGGTAGAGAACACATTTGAGGTTTTACTTAATGCAGTTGGAAGTATAATTCAAAACTGGCATGAGCCAAGTTTAGGATGGTGGCATAGAGTGAAGTGTCAAGGTCAAGAGTAGAGTGGGTCTATTAAGGGTCTGTGAAAACTGCCAAATAGCTTTTTCCTGCTGATAACACAAATTGTGCTACTTTAAGACTATACAGACCATATAAAATGTTTGACAATATTGCAGTGGATAGTGATGAAAGACAATTATGCTAAAACTGAGGGCATATGTTATCTAACATTATAATATTTATATTATTCTATGGATTTCCATTTATTGATAAGTTTGGCACTATTTTCAATTTTCCTTTTAAGTTAAATTAACTGTAACTCTCTTACTCTTTAGAATCATGCACACTCATTTTCACTTTCAACGCTTGTGCATTTTAGCCAAGAATAATACATTGTACAAACTGAAAACTCCTGAACTGAATGGGAGTTTTATCTTTGGAATGACTGCATCACACAGAGTATTTCTGCAGCAAAGATGTCAGAACATTTCACTTGTGTGCACTAGGAGAATGGATCCTAGATAATGTCTCTGCTTAGGTTTAAAGTTCCATCTTAGAATTGGCTTTCAGAAAAGGACTGATACAAAGAATGCAACAGAGACTGCAGATTTGCAAAGACTTTTAACCTGTCTGTAATAGCACCTACCTATAACTTACACTTAACTTTACCTCTGGAATGAGCTGATTTTTTATTGTTGTGGTTCAGTTTCATAGCATATGACATGGTTCTGGCTGGATTGTGTTTAGAGTTCTGTGCTAGAATAAGTCAATGGTGTTGTGATACATCCTACCTTACACTTAGGTATTTCTGTAAAAGCATTTTTAAGAATTTCAGTTTTATTGGATTATGTTCTTCCCTAAATTTAGGGAATGGTACCAGATCTACACAGACTGCAGTTCAATCAGTCTGTGTAGAAAAATCTACACAAAAACATTCCTCTAGTGTAGAAAAGTCCAGGGAATTGTCTGTACCTTGGATCAGTTTCATTGGAGATATTTTCCACGTGGGATGGGTGTTTGGGTTAGGGTTTGGCTTTCAAAAACATGGGAACAATTAGCCTACTCTCAGATGGGCTTGGAGAGCCACATGGGGGCTGCTGTAAACTCAGTTCAGCTTCCACGGGAAGGGTGGCTGCTGCTTCTGTTTCCAACTAAGGAACACTCAAGGTTAGTTTCAGAAAAGGACTGACAACTCTTGCTACTTTTTGCCCAGTTCTTATGCATTCTGAGTTCACTGGGGGACAGGGAAGTGCAATCAGAGCATGAGGCTCACTCGAGCAGCTGGATTAAAAGAGCATTTATCTTCCAACAGTATCCTTATCTTTAGGTACATCCAGAGGCACTGATTCCAGCAACACAAATAGGAAGCTGTACAAATGTACATTTCATGGGTCTGAATAATGTTATGTCAGGGAAGTGATCATAAATCCACCATTATTCTTGTCTATACAGAGGCAGACAATCTTTAAATCTGACCAATAATTAGAAAAAAGTTTGTGTTAATAGTGATTAACTCTGAGTGGTGTCTTGGAAAGCATGAGGCTTTGCTTTATAGAGCCTTTGTACAAGTGACTGATGATGATATTTTGCTGAGAGCAAGTCAAGAGGAAATTAAATAGTGCATGTTGGATATTGTTGTCTATCACACTAAAAGAATTGTATTGCTTTCCACTATTTCTAGCCTGATTTCTAAAGGAAAAAGACTAATGAATTCCTACTGTCATTGACAGTGTCTTGTATCTCTTAAATTACCTCTACCAATCTGTTTCTCTCCCTGCTAGCTAATTCCTGTGAAATTTCTCTGAAGCAACAGTAAAAATTATGGTCAAACAAGTTTGTTCCTAGTAGCCAGTATCTGGGGAAAGGATCTCCATGAAGTGTCCTTGTCAAGGGGGACACCACAGGGTGAGTTTGCACCTGACTGGGCATCAGAGAAGCCACCAGGGACTGAGTTCTTTGACAAAGCTTCAGTTAAAGCTCTCAGCTGTGGAGATGAAGCAAACTTCAGTAGTCCTGCTGCTCACAAAGCAAACTGGCATCACTGGGTTGTAACTGGTCACTGCATGCTGTGTCTGTGGGCTGCTTAGGGCCTTGAGACTTCCTACTGCAGTAGCCATCCCATGGAGCTGAAAGTCACAGTAACTGAATGACTGATTAAGATGGTGCTGTTGGCACCATGACTACAAATGTCTTTCACCAGAAGAAAATTTGTTTTCCAAGTTTGTAGTTTATTGGATTTAATGGTAACTTGATTCCTTAACTGCTTTGTGAGCCCTTAGTCAGAAAGCAGCTGAGATTCTGAATTTCTGCCCATCTTCATTGCATTCGATGAGGGGAAATTTCCCTAAATGTCCATCAAATTTAACAATAACTAATCTTCAGTAACAGCTGGAATAATGCAAAAAGCACTGTTATGCAAAAATCTGCAAACATATGGCAAGTACAGTTCCTTGCTTCTGTTTCTACAGTTGAAAATTAGAAAGATTTTGCAATGTCATGCAAACAAAATAGCTGTGCTAATCTGGAAAGAGCAGCCCTGCATAGGTTTTCAAGGAGAAAAGAAGAAACCTGATGCTTGGTGAATGGCTGAGTCTCTCATGTACCAGTCTTGGATTGGCAATTTAGTGCTTTTTAATCTCTTTCCCTCATATTCACACACGAACCAATGTTCCATCAAAAATAGCCTGCTGCACTGCTATACTTTCAGAGGAGAAATTCAACATATTTGTTTACATGTTTTCATGCATTGGAAGAATATTTTAGAAGTAGGCTTGCTATTAAGAAAATCACCCTGTGTAGCAGTATAGTACCATAACAATCCTTCTTCCAGAAATGCATACTGGTAGCTCTTTGGGGTCTAGTTTCCTAGTTGAACAAGTTTATCCCCACTGCGTGAGGGAGAGACAAATTTGTTCTCTGATTTCCTCAATGATAGCACATCATGGATGGCTTAGCAGCTATCAGGGTTTCAAGCTGGAATCATTAAAGCTTCAGACAAGCTTTTCATATGTTATTTCCTGTTTGTGTGTCACATCCCAAGAAGGTGAATGTGAACAGAGGTCAGTAGCACACAATGAACAGGTGAATACTGTTGTAAGAACTAGTTCATCATGGCTGTATTTGTGCTAAGAGGGATCCTGATTTCTCTTTTCTGATTCACTTGCAATTTATGTGTAAATTCTCATTTTCTCACTGGATCTGTGCTAAAACCAAGGGGAGAATGTATTCCTTCCACCTACAAATCATGGCCAGTAGGTTTGTATGCACCAGTCACACTGGATGTGGGCTCAGTGCTCTACTTTTATATGCAGATAATGGGGGAAAAAAGGAAATGTCAAAACTTCGTTGGTGAAAAAGGCATTTCTAGCAATATATAGTAAGATGGATTCAAACCAGGGAATAATTACTATTTTCTCTTTCTGCAGTTGGTATAATTTGTGCCATGGCAATGGCTAAGGTCCCATTTGGTTAGTCACTGAATAAATAGCCTCCTGAAGATCTCAGTCCTGCAACTTTTGTAACTATCTTCCTGCAACTTTTGTAACTATCTTCCCACTTTCTCGTTAAATGGTTTGTAAAATCTGCCAAATGATAAAGTTTCTCATAAGTCAAACATGTTTTAAATGGGAGAAATATTGATGCAAACGCTATTCCTGGTTTATGATATAAAGGAATATTTAAAATAGTGTAACAATATTTTCCAGCTCAAATTTGTCTTCAAACTTTTATGGCCCTGTAAAGTATCCCACTTGCATGCGAGAATCCTAAGTAAAGAAAAATAGAGTGTACAATAAGTGATTGCTTCTTTGAGAATTTGAGTGTCAAGTCTTACTGAAGTGATGAAATCTGGGTGCTGTTGGAGATATCTGAGGGGATATGCTTTGTTACCCAGTGTAACATCCATAAACAAATCAGTCTGCACCTCAGAACTGCTGCACTTCATTTTCCGGAGTTCTGCTTTGCTCAAATGCTGTCAGACAACTCCTACTGTCAGATGGCACCATGGAAACTAGAACAAACAGAAAATAATGTCATTACATCATGTCTCTGCTCTTTCCCTCATCTTAGTGACCTTGCTTCTGCATCAAACTGGAGTGTTTGCATCTCCTACTTCCTTTTAAGAAATAAATAGGTCAGTTTTCTGCAACAGGGCAGAATGAGCCAGACATGTTCATGGTACTGCCACAGGCATGTGATGACTTACAAAATATGATTATTAACCATGTAATCATGTGTTTCTCTACTACATTTTTCCTGGGGTGGTGCTGTTCAGTAGTCTGTTGAAAATGTGCCTGAGACAGCCTAAAGAAATGCACTCAATGAGGATCCCTGCCTGGTAATTCAGTCCTTCCCAGTTTCCTGAAGGTCACCTCCAGCTGCCTGCCTGTTCACGCTTCAGTTTCTCCTAGTTCCATCTCAATGCTCTGTGCAATAACAGGTTTCAGAATTCAGTTTCTTAAATTTGCATCCTTAAAAAGCCCTGCTCTGAAAATCTAAACACTTTAATGATTATGCGAATCCACTCTGCAGGCTTTTATATAATAATTTTGGTTTTCTTCTTGTTGACATTCATAAAGGAAAGCAGGAAATCTAAAAAAACAAGCAAAATACTTTAGAAAATTGCTTCATCTCTGGTCCTGTTGCCAGGTGGATGCTATGGAGTAAAGCCTTTGCTTCTCTTTCATTGGAATCTTTAGAAAAATAGGTACCTTTGTCTTTTGTGAAGAATTTTGTTTAATGATGCACAGAAAATTGTATCTAATAGAACATCAATAAAGACTTTTCACTGTAAATGTGCACAAAGGGATTCACCCAGGATGGCATTTTCAACATTCTTAGCTCAGCAATCTCATAAACTTTTGTGTTCTTTATGCATAGAAACCATGGTTAGAGACACAGATTTGAGCACAGCCCTGTGCCACGCACTTATTAAAATGTAAATGCCTGAAATCACCCATTAGCTTTGTGTCCTGGGGTGACTTTATGATGATTGTACCTTTTGCACCTTTAAGATTGGTTCTGAGACCGAAGCTGGGGGGAAAAGAAGCACAGAGTTTGTTATCAGTAACTGCACTCACTGCTGCACATTCCTGCTCCTGGACTGTGTTGTCTGCGGATGGACAGACAGTGGGACAGAGCTTTCCTTTGCTTTTAGTTAGTTTTAGCTAGCTGAGGCAGAGAAGTTCCCTGGACTGTGGCTTTTTCCTTTTCTTTGGACCAGCTCAAACCTGCTGTGGACCAAACACCCAGAAGAACATGGGCAGCTCGCACCTGTGGCCCAGCCTGGGCTGTGGCATTTCCAGTGCCGGAGGGACTGATCAGAGACTGAGTGAGCCAAGCTACAGCCCACCAAGGGGACTTGCTGAGTTTGTCATGTCTTTGGAGTGGCCAGAGATTTTATTGTTTAATATTGTTCAATTTTTTGTACTGATGAATGCTTTGCCTGTTAAATAAACAGGTTTTTCCACTTTTTTATCCAAGGAAATCCTTTCCCAAACCAGCTGGCTGAGAGGCTGCTTTAATTTGCTTTCTGGATGAATCGCTTTGAAGGTTTTCTCCCAGATTTGCCCTAAACCAGAACACTTTGGGATTTGTGTTATTTGTAAATATGATAGTAAATTTGGACTTGTTCTGAAGCAATAGTTATTCTGTGAGATATGTATGGGAAACCTCACTAAAGGGTCTTCTGTTTGCTAACACTGATATTATGTCTTTGTAGCTTTTGCTGTCTTGGGGCTATGTACTTATCTCCTCTGCACGATGCTTTCATGTCATCACTAAACATACCTCAGTGTTGTGGGGTTTTGGTTAGATGTTGTAGAACATTTCAGATGGCTCACACCAGAGTAAGGAAACTGTACTGGGGCAAGAAAAAAATCTCGGCAATTTGTTTAGCCTGTCTTTTCCAGGAGAAACTGGGCAGTCAATGAGCTTGTAGCTGAAATACTCGAACTGGTAATGCCAAAACAGACAAGTGACAAAACTGAGGAGGCATGAGAGTTCTGATTCATCTGTGGCATCCTTTTGACTCACCACAAGCCCTGATGTTTTGGGGAAAGAGAAAATCAAGCTTTTTGGAGACCTGGACTATTATGGGCCATCTCTGCTGATGGCACCATTTGTCTGCTTCAGGCCTCTTGATCAATTGCAGTAGTATTTTTCATCTAGCAGCTATTAATGTTTTATACCTGATAAAACTGGAAAAAGCAGTTTGGAGAATTTGCAGTGGATGCTTAGAGCCCTAATTTCAAGGCACCTTACCTTCTTAAAATGTTTAAAGGGACCTAGAGCTCTTTGTATGTCTTGTTTAAAACTACCTCCCATTGTTCTGTGCTGCACTGTTACCTGCATTATGAATAAAACTGAGGTTGTGCCCTGCTGTAGGTTGGCCATCTGTGAATTTGCATTATGATTTCTTGTCCAAGCCACATGCCAACATATTTGCTCTTTTTGTGTTCTGCTTCTGTCTCTGAGCAGACTCTGTAGCAAGGTGCCAGTGGGGTAAGAAATGAGCTGCCTCTCAGAAGCATCTGGAGAATACTGTGAGCTGGGCTGAGCTGGACCTTTTGCTCAGCTGGACAAACACCTCAGCTGGCAGCTCCATGCTTTTTCTGCTGCTGTTTATTTTCTCCTTGTAGGAGAAAGGTTTGAGAGAAAGACTCAACTCCACCTGGGTAATGCTACATTTAAGGTAAAGGTGTCTTCACTGAACAAGAGTGATGTTACTGACAGAAATATTTGAAAAATAGTAAATATTAGGGAATATTCTTATAAAATGACATCTTAGTGTATATGTTCAAATCCTAAAGTTATTTACAGGAGGAAGGTGTCCAGAATTTATTGCTCATTACAGATTTGGAGACTTTGAAGTTCCAGTCTCCTCCTGTAGCACAAAACCAAAGCACTTGCCTGACAAAACGCATGAGCAAAAGACAGGTCAAGTGAATAATAGTTCTGGAAGGGAAACAGCAGGGAAAATGCCAGAAATATCAAAAATCAATTTACCACCACAGAGCTCTTAAAGCTAATATCTGCTGGGATGAGGTGCTGACCTCGTTAACGTTATCAGAAGCGTTTCCAATGGCATTAGCAGAGTTTTGCCTGATGAAATAAGGATGAGTGCAGGGGGGTGGGCTGCATTCAACTGATACTGCCTTTGTTTCTCAGGTTGCTCTGAGGCCTAGAAGAACCAAGGGAGGAAAAGTGGTGAACTCAAGGGTGTGAATTCCTCAAGTGGAGCTTGAACTGCTTTGTATCAGTGCTGCACAAATAACTCCTTATCCATACTCTCAATTTCCCTGTGAGGCTCTGTGATTCCTGAAGTGTTCACCAGGGCTGAAATCAACTCATCTCCACAGAGACCTGGAAACCTGACTTTACTGGGCTCTCTAAAGTATTTTGTTACATAACTTATGCAAATTCAGAGTAAAGCAAAACCCTGCATCTGTTTCTTGGAATAATTTTCACGTATCTAGAATCAGAATTTAAATTATCTTTCAAGTTCTTGATTTAATAGATATTATTTAATATAATTTATTGTAGTAATAAAGTGCTTCAATTACCAAGTTAATATTTCCCAAGGAAAATCTGGCAAGTCCTAAGTAAAATTGAATTGCTGCCCACAGCTGATAGTCTAATAGTGGAAATGCTATTTAATTTCATTATTATTCAAATTTATGTTCTGTTTTCTCAATTAGCATATAAATACTATAAATCTCTCAAATGGAAAAAGCCTTATTGGGGAATATTTTTAATGATTATAAATAGCTGGGTAAGGCAAAATCTTGGATAACACATAGCAGTGAACACAAATTAGGCTGAACAGGGTTATGGCACAATGAGAAATGTTTGTCTTCTCCAACTTCATTTCTGTTGAAGAATTTTTGGATCCTTATGTAGGAATCAAAATCTTCCCTTCTTAAATGTACTCATGTAAAGGAGTAACTATTTTCTTTTATGTGTATTTTTTTACATGCTTTGCACACATTTTCTGTATCAGGAGCCTTTTTTTAAGGATAAGTTCAAGCTCCTCTTTTGCATCTCTAAAAACTGCTGCTAAAAGGATGCTATTCATGTAGCCACCTTTTGCCCACTGTAGGTATAAATTAGTAATGCAGCTGAAGAAAATATGCCAAATCATTCTGCTCTCTCACTAGAGCAAGGACATAGATTCAGCAACATGGATGTTTATAAATGAACACCATTTTAGATCAATGAAAGGGGAAGTGACAAAGCCAATGATTGGTTAGGAAAAATCTGTTTTCATCCCCATTTTGTGTGTAGACTGAATTACCAACATGTTCAGTTACAGCTGTAGGAGTAGGCAGCCTCTAGTGTTTTTAGGTATAAATTAACACCTTAACCTTTTTTTCCATTTTTAGTAGACAGACAGAATAGGCAAAGGAATAGCAGTTTAATTTCCTCACAGAAAAATACCCAGCCTAAGAAATTACCTATTGATACCATGTGTAACTTCAGACAAGGAAATATCAACACCTTCTGCAAAGTACAGTACAGTGCAGTGCAGTGATCTGAGAGCAAATCCACCCTGGAGCATGTCAGGAGCTGTACTGCACCAATGGGAATTTGAGCCTCGAGTAGAGATGAAAACTTGCAGGCTCAGGTAGAGCCCTGCCCTTTGTTTCTGCAGGTGAAACAAGTGACACTTTGCATCCAGAAGGAGTAGCTGTGACTTGTGGCATTCACTGTTCTGGTTGAGCTGCTCAGTGCTTTCCTAACAGGTGGTGGGAATCACCCAAATTTCAGCAGGAGCCCCAGTCTCACAGGTGAATCCTCCCAGTAACAAGACAAATACTCTCTCTGCCATCTCTTTGGGGTTTTGCATCAGCTACCAGCCTTGCTTATTTTGTTTTTCAGACTGACTCTCAGGCTCTGAGATTGAGAATCCTCACCCTCACTTTTCTCCAAGAGTTCACTGGTTTGATCCCACGCCCTTCCACTGCTAGAACTGAGGAAGTGGGTATTGGGGCTGATTTATTTTGGCTGATATGAAAGTTTGTCAGTTATTTCTCACATAGCATGTATGGCAATTGCTACTTGAACAGCTCTGAATTTGACAACATCTGCTTCACAACTGCCACGGCCCTGTCTGGTTTTAAAGGAAGAATAAATATTTCACTAACAACTGAGAATTAGATGTTGCTCATTCACACATGAATAAAAATGTACTGGTTAACAATCCAGGGCATAGTGTCACTGGGTCCCTGCCAGGTAATTATATGAAAATGTTTGAATATTTTGAACTGAGGTTTATTCTTCCTTGGATCGTTCCTTAATCAGCCAAACTACTCAGTATGACCATTCTACCTGCTCAATCTAATTAAGCATCAGTCATCTCATTTTCTTGATTCTAACTATTGATGGGTTTATAATTATAACACTTACATTTCTGCATAAATTTTTAACATGGGATTGGACAATTACCTAGGCAATGTAGTAGAGCAAATACATCTTTTTAACCTCTTTCTGAAAAAAACCACTTAAAAAAATCTTTTTTATTCCACTTTTCCAGCCCAGCACAGTCATGTTTTGTCCTGGTCTCTCAACTGAGTTAGCAGCCTTATGTCCTTGCATCACAGATACTTTTGACAAGAATTGTAGTGGGACATGCTTTAAGTTGCTTTGTCTGATTGGGAGTTCAAGCAAAGCCAGAAGGCATCATGTTAATGTAGGAATTTAATGGGCTTATGACACTTCCCTGCTTGGTGACTTATGACTTCCCAGCTTGCCAAGCTGACAGAGTTTATACTGGAAAAGAGAGAAGCAAATGCTGTGTTTGATCTGGCTCTTGCAAAGTGTGTGAATCGTTAGGGATGTGTGAGCTCAGGTGAGCTGCTGCTCTCAGAGGTGTGAAACTTCTGTTGCTCCCAAAGCACTGACACTGTTCAGCCAAAGTCACACCACAGCCCATTCAGACATTCCTTGTGCTTTTCAACCACCTGAATCTGGAAGGAGAGCTAATTAAAGATGTACAAAGCTTTATTTCTAACTTTATTATAATTGCAACAGTGACACAATTCTTCAGGTGAAACCTACATTGGAAGTGATGAAAACATGCATTTCAAATGAGAGCTCAAGATAAAAAGCAGGAGAGATCTTGTCTAGGCAAATTAACCTACCTACCCAGCTACTGTGTGCTGGAAAAAATATTTTTAGCATGCCTGTGACACATTTGATAATTACTTTTTTCAGTAATCAAAGGCTGTATTTAACAAAACAGAGATGAAACAGGGAGTTCAGCATGAAGGGAGAGATGTGTGTAATCATCTTTATCTGCTCATGTTGATGCTGTGGGAATGCACTGCCTCAGAATCTATGCTACATGCTGAAAGAGGAGCAGAAATAATTACCTGTACTAAATGAATGCTAATAATAAATAGATAACTATAATATATAATAATATAACTATATATAACTATAATAAATGTTAAAGTCATTTGTGAAGGACTTGGTCCCAGTAGGTGTTTAGTGGCTGCAGAACCAGAACAATGGCATGCAAGTGTGCCTACCTGCTTTGCCTGCTAGTTTGTCCTCCTTTTCCACTCAGGCACCATCCAATATTGAGACACCGTGGAGTCTCCTGGGTTGAGCCAGCTGCTGTGGGGTGCCCCTGTTGGGCAGTTGAGCCTGGATTGCCCCCAGAACCTGCAGGGTGAGGTCTGCAAGAGAACTTGCAGGAACTCCAAGGAGAACTTGTTAGGAACTCCAGCACTGGTGAAGGCAGGTTCTGCACTAAGCTAACACAATGCTGAAAGCTAGCACAGCAGCCAAGGGCCATGCAGAGCATGTTAGCCTTGGTTGCTTGCAAAAGGAAAGATCATTTTGGAGGGGAAATAACCTACAAAGTCCAAAACGGGATAAAATCCAGTAATTCACACAAAACTATAAAATTAATGGAACCACACTTAAAAATCAGCATGAATTGTATATCCTTTCATATGTCTTGTCCATTTAGGCTTTTTTTTTTATTAAATTAACAGCTTTCAAGTAAAGTGCTGAAAAACGCTTTGATTGGAGGATTTTGGAAGGAAATGACAGATTTAATGTGTAGCTTGTCAGCAAGTGGGAACAGAATTTCTCCAGACCCATTTTGCTGAGGGCATTTTCTCTTTTTTAGTCTCTTTCTGATCATCTCTACTGCCTGAGAAAGGAAAAATCTATTGTTTTATTAGCTGCACTGAGGAAATTGAGTGACAGGGGCTTTTCCCACAACTGACTTAGAAAAGAAGTTATAGCTGGGTTATGATTATTTTCTCCTGCCATGATGAGAAGTCAGCACCAGTTTGGGACAGTCATGAATACAGATGATCTACAATAAAAATTAAATCCAGCATTTCATTCACCCTTCGAGCAGCAGCTCAGTTTCTGTGCTCACTTCCTCATTAAGAAATTTCCCTTCAAAGCACCATCATTAAATTATGTTTCTCTGCTTCTCAGGATGATGAGCACTTCCTAACTTAGTACTTACACAGTAGGAAATAAGTAATTCATTTTGAGCCTTCCAGTTCTCTCCACAGACTTGCAAGAGGAAAAAAATATTGGAATGGTTCCTTTCAGGTCTGAAAAGAGGATGAGATACATAATTATTCATCAATATACCTGGACAGTGTGTCCCCCACCATGAACATCTATGGTGTCATCATAAAGTTCATCACAAACTTTAGCAAAGTTTTAATATGTTTAGTTTAGTGGATTTCACTTGAAAAGTAAATGTAGTTACTTAAACTGTATTTTGAAATATCTGAAATGAAGAGTTTGGGAAGGCATTGGAGTCCAGTATATTCCCTACATTGTGTTAAAATTCAGTGCTTTCACAGAAGGTATTAGTTAGAATTATTTAAAGGTTGCACTTATGTTTCAAGGCTTTACAAGTCAAGCATCAGCCAGATGAAAATTTATAATTGGAATCAAATTTTCCAAAATTAAACATCATTTAAACCTAACAGCTCCTTGTGCAGCATCACATGGGTATCCTCAGTTGCACACAGCTGCCTGTGCTGGTCCAAGTTGATGAAACCTCATAGTTTAAATGTTGGAGGATGGTAGAGAAGGCAAAATTAATAGTTAAACACTCTATTTTTAACATTCATAGAATGGCCTGGGTTGGAAGGGACCTCAGATCATCTTGTTCCAGTCCCCCTGCCATGAGCAGGGACACTTCTTACTAGACCAGGTTGCTCCAACCTGAATTTAAATTTCCAGGGATTGGGCATCCACAATATCTCTAGACAACCTGTGCCAGTGTCTCACCACCCTCATGGTAAAGAATTTTTTTCCTATTATCTAATTTAAACCAGTCATTCACAAGCTGTTTAGAATCTGTACAATTATCTTACTTATTTTAGCTAAATTTTGACTTCATGCTCGTTGTCTGAATGATTCTCTTCACTGGGGGAAATGTAACTTAGTTCATTCTATTACTCTCTGAAGAATCAACTGGGAAAACTTCACCAGAGGCATCAAGTATTTCATTAACTATGCATTTGAGCAAATTAATTTTCTCCACCTTGTTTCCTGAGAACAGGCAATTGTGCTGCAGAGATCCTATTGCTGTTACTGCACTATAATCCATATATTGCTCTGGTGTGCTCTTCCCAGCCTACAGATTTGTCACTGGACTATTATTTTATGCTCCACTGTTTTTTCTAATTATACTATATATCCTCTTCTCACAGCTTCCATCCCGTCCAAACAATACATTTTAATAATTCGATGGAACATTATTTCATAGCTTCTCCATAAATTCTTATTGCCAGTATTATTTCATCACACAAAGTCAGTTCAAAGTTCTATGTTTCAGCTTTGATTAGTGGTTCTGCTTTTTTTAGTTCTCCAGAAGACAGCTGGGCTTACTATTATGGTATATGGAAATCACGAGTATAATAAATTAGAGTGTGAAAAGCTAAGTTTTTGCTTATTCCATTAACACTGAGCTATTGTGTTGGAGTTTGGTTGCTGTTTATTCATGGTGATAATCCACTTTTTCCTCAGCAGTTGGAGCATACCAAATAAATTACAGCTTTTACCTGTATCAGACTCTTTGAAATCCCTGTTGTTATGTTTACTCTTCACTATTTATGTCTGGAATTTGAGGAAAATAAAACATATATGTCAAGAAAGGAGACAAAGAGGCAAATACGCCAGCTGAGTTAGAGGGCTCAGTTGTTTCTGATGTGAATTGAAGAACTGCAAAGTGGTACTTAGTTACCTAATTGCTCCACATCAGTTTGAATGTGCAGTTTACTCCAGCTAAACATGAACCACTTGGTTTGAAGAGCAATTAAGAAGTAAAATCATAGACCCTAAACCCTCAGGTTCCAGCCATTTATATTCAGACCCATTGATGATTCCCACACAGACTTTACTTTCCATACAGGTAATCTAGTTTACGAGCTATTTGAAAACTCATCTTCAGTTTATACCTGATTGTTCCACATCCAAACAATATTACTTTGCTATTTTCAGATTTGGCTTCATTTATGATTATGTTATGCAATGACATCAAGATAATTAAACCACTCTCCACGGCAGGATTTGTTTCAAATTTCCTAGTGAAGCATCAATATGAGCCTGTTGGGTTACACTGTACAGGAGAAACCTAACCCTGCCCTCATTTAAAAAGGAGGAAAAAAAAAAAAGTAATTTTGCTTGAAGGAAGAAAATATATTATCAGAGGGATCAAATTAGATATCTTGCATTCTCTTAATTTCTCAGAAGTTTGGAATGGGGGAACTCAGTAATTCTGCCTCCATCAACAGCCCCAAAGTGCTCTCAGGCATCAGACATGGAAAGGGAAAATCCTCACAGCACAAAAGCTACTGAAGTTAGCTAAGTTTTCCAAACCTGTCTGGGGTTCAGTGTCCTGGTACCTGTAGATGGCTTTGATGGCTTTCCTGAGCGTGCACAGGCTTGCAGCTGGTGCTGGGCTGCTGTGGTAAAACCCAGCACGGGTTTGCTGGCAGTCACTGCCTCCTCCTCATCCTCATCCTCCTCCTCCTCCGGGGTGTGGCCGAAGGACAGCCACACTCTCCTTGGATCCTCTTCCAATGCAAACCCACCAAGCCTGAAATCGTCCTGCCAGCTGTACACAAGCCGTGCTTTTGTCGAGTCCTCCCACTCCCTTTTCCCCTGTTCACAAATCTTGCAGCTTCCCTCCTGGGACAGCTCTGAACGCACAAAATCTTTTCTGTGGATGGACACAGAAGGAAACAGAGCATTTCCCATACACTACGAGGACATAGAAGTTTCCTATCTCACCGATGAAGAAACAGATTTGGTCTCAGGCAAGATGCCCTGGGCATCATGTCCTGTAATGAGATAGTGAACAGAACATCTTCATCTCGTCCTCTCTCGAGGTGAATTTACAGATGGCTTATTCCTGCCTCTATTTTCAGTAATTTATTCTTGCATCCGAATCAGCAAATTAAAAAATGAGCTCTCTTCCTAGATGGTATTTGCATATTCATTAAACATTCCATTGAACTATTTCACAACATTTTAAAAAATGCTCACTGGCAACTCAGGATGTACCTATCTCACAGTAATTTAAATTGGCAGAGCTGTACCTCAGACTTGAAAGGGCACCACTGTTCCTCCCCATTGCTGCATTTTGGCAATGTCAGAAGGGGCTGAACTTCCAACAGGCACTTTACCTTGCAGACTGCCTCCCCTTCAATTCCAAATGCCTTTTAAATATTTCCATATTCAGTAGCACCAGAATTATCTTCATGAGCATACATACATAAATAGGAATGCTTATAGGTCCTGGTATGTCATATTCTGATTTATATTCATGGGTTTGAAAGTAAGGTTTGCTTTATATTTCATTCAAAGACTTCATTAATATAAAATTAGCACAAAATGCAGTCAAATAATAGGAAGAATATAAACTGATGGACTGTCTTTTTAAATTCTGACTTGAGCCCCTCTGGAGAACTCAAGCTATTTTCTAGAAAATAGCTTTATTGAATACACTGGATTTTATTATACAATCTTGATTTTTAAGGACATATGTAATAGCTGGAAGATTAATCCATTAAAATGACAAAATACATTACACTGGTAATTTATCAGTTTGGCAAAATATGTAAAAGACTGCCTTTCCTTGGGTGCACTGTACAAACACATTGATTGTGTGAGAACTGCAAGGTGAGATGTGTAATCATGAGGTAGTTGCTAAATCAAAGAAAAATAGCATAGTAATAGAACTTCATTTGTTCACTCAAATGCTTATTGATTAATGTTTATTTTCTCGTTTTGGTTCAATACACATTTTGTGCAAAAGCCAACTGCTGGTGACAAGAGAGTATATATGATTTGGCAGTGAATTAGTTTGGCACCAGACAGTAAATATGGCACTTAACAGAGTTCAGAAAACAAACTTAGATATGATACAGAATAAGGCTGGAGCTATATGGCTGAATATTAAAGCACTATTCCTTAAAATTCATTAGAGGTTCAATTTTTCTCTAGGTTCCTAAGTCCCTGAAGGTTTTACAACCCTGACCCTGTCTTCTAGAAGTTTTAAAAGTTATACTACAGTGAAAAAATAGTATAATAGAAATAGTTGCAAGCCTTAACAAAACGCAGTTCTACTTGTTTGGCTCTTAAGTGTACTAATGAAATAGATGGCAGTAGAATTAATGTGCAGACTAAATGAATGTGAATGTTTAAGTCATATGCATATGTTTTTGTGATAGCTTGCATGCAGCTTTTTTGTGGTGGGATTTACTGCTTGTGAGTACATGTGACCATGCTGGAAAGCACAGATGAAAATTGGAGGAATGTGAATTATTTCCTTCCTCAGTTAATATCTACACAAACTTAAGCTGTCAGAGGTTTGTAAAGAACCAGGATTTCCTAGGAGGGCTTTTTCTTACTTTCTTGCCACATCTCTGATTTTGTTAAAAAGCTTTAAATAAACACTGCAGGAAGTAGCTTCTACAGTTGGAAAACAAATATTTAACTTCCCTAGAAGCTGTATATTAAAAAATTGCAAAGTCACCTACAATAATATCACTTGACTGGAAACAGATTGCAGGGCTTTATCTCTTACATTAGTCATGCCTAAACTTGATCTTTGGTAAATGATCATGTAAATATAAGTCAAGACTACTGTATTACTAACACCATCAAAGTTGACTTCAGGAGCCTATGTACAGCTTTCAGCAAGTTGGACAAAAGGCACATTCTCCTGGGGATGGTCTGGTCTTCTGACACCTTTTTTATTCATGAAGTGAGGAATGGAATAGATTTATTATGCAAAATCAGTAAGAAATAGTGGCATGATTTGTGAGACTTATTAGTACCTTAAAGTTTGTTGCCAACAAAATTTTGCTCAGGTTCCTGAAAAACTCTTCATTGTATCTTTAATGTGGCAATGGCATATTTTTTTAAACTAATAATTGTGTTTATTTTTATTATGTACAGAATCTACAGCAACATGAGCATGTACTAGAATTGGGAAATTTAAAATGTTATTACTCTCTATTTGAAAAAAATTATTACTGTCATTGCAAGGCTATTATTTCTATTCATTTTCAGTGCAACAAATTGGTTTTGCAAGATTTTATTCCTCTTCTCTCCCACCCCCCACATCTGTCTCATTTCTACTGATCCTAGGCTAATGAAGAGCCACATGGATTTTGTCTATGCAGAAAATATACAGATCTCATTTTAGGTTCAAAAATAAATTTTCTTACAAAGAATATCAATGATGTTACTAATCACAGAGTGTCTTTATAACTTTATGCCTTATTAGTCTTTGAATAACAGAGAGAATGATGCATATACATTTATTCCTTCAGATTATCTATTCACAACATTTGAAGGCTTCTGTTTCCTAAAGCATGTATAGATGATTGCTTGATATCATTTTTTTATTTGATTTTTTTCAAGGGACAGTATCATTATTATTAATTATCAGGCTCATCAGTAACAAGACTCACAGATGAGCTTCCTGTGTGTATCACTGTTCTGGAAGTCTGTGTTGAGGAGCAAATACTGTAAATTTGCACTGATAAAAGCATGGGCTCACTGCAAGTTAGAGGAAATATGAAAATGAACTGGCATCCTTGATAACTCTGGGAGGGTCTGTGCTGGTTTCATTTCTGTTCTGTATTGTCCTTTCTAATGTCACCTGGTGTTTTCCATTCAGCAGGGAGATGCTCTTGGCTGTGCCTACAAATTAAGTCCTATAATGAATCTCTAAGCTGGACAAGGCTCTACTAACAAAGCTGAGTTCTGTTTAAAATATATCATCATATCATGACTGACCAAATACCTTTTAAAGAAGATTGACTTTAATATAGGACTGCAAACTTTGATTTTACATATACTGGGTACCATTATGTACTAAATTGGATATGCAGTGATTAGCTTTTAAATTTAGGGCATCCCTATGACATTTCTTAACATGAAATGATGAACACATTTTCTGTCTTAACCCCTCTATCAATTTCTTAAGAAATTTTACTCCCTAACTTGGACTTTGCAAAACTCATCAGGAAGCAGAATATTAGATTCTTTTAAATGCTAAGAAGATACTTGAAACAAAAAGGGCAAAAGATCAGTATAATTTTCCTTTTTCTGTGGCTACTTTGCCACTTACACAACTCACTGACCTCTGGGCCTCTTCTAGCACAGCATCATTGTCATTTCAATCTAGAGAAAAGTTTTGAGTCATCATTACATGTTAATAAAATAGGGGGTTTTATTCCAAATATGGAATGAGTAAGGTTCAGGACAGGAGTATTCAGCCTGTGATAGTGAAATGTTTAGGTTCTGGTATTTCATTATTCATTTATTTTAGAGTAACTTTTACCACCTGAAAAAACAGATATATTCCCACTTTGCAAACATCAAATTCTCCATTCTCCCACTGTAGTCCTGGTATGAAACATGACACCATTTCCAAAGCTGAAAGGACAACATGATTTATATGTATAAAGGATATTTTGAGTAATTTTTGTAATGTACTAATAGAAGTAATTGAATGTAACTTGTTCCTGCTTTCCAAGACAGTGTTGTTGGATTTATAATATGAAATGGGTCAGAATTTATTGTGGTTGCACAAAAATGTCAAAAATTGTAAATCAGCAGAGAAGGTCTTATGTAAAACATAGAACTTCCAGTAGTTTCATTGTGCTGAATTTGGAATGCACACAACCCTTTTTTATCCTCACACACCTCATTGTCCAGGAGAACTGAAATCAAAACCCCAGCTGTCAGCATCAAATGTCACTACAGTGCTGGGAAGAAGTAGTTTCCACGTTTTAGCTGTGTATTTCCATGCTTCAGCATACAAACACTGATTCATTTCACCAGCCATTAACACGGAAAAGATTCCCATCTCAGGGATCTGCTTTGGCTGTGCAGGTAAAGCAGGGAGCTGCCCTGTGCCATCCTCCCTTCCCCGGCTCAGCAGGAATGGTGGGGACAAGGAGGATCTAGCCCCACACTTCATGTTTGTGCTGCTGAAGCACACACAGCTCTCAGCAGGTGTAGATTCCTTGTGCTTGTGAAAACAGAACATTTTTTATATGGCTTAGAACACAAGCTCTGAGTGTTTATTTTAAAAATCAGGTCTAATTTATGCAGGTTCTTAATAGAAGTATATAAAAATTAAATAAGATGCATATACTTCCCTTCAGTGTGCACTGCATTTCCTGCATGATAGCTGGTAACTTTTGATTTGTGTATCACTTGTTTTTTTTTCTTATAGCTGAGAGGGCAAGTTATGAAGTTGACGGATGTTCACAACTCGCATTTATAAGCTTAGAAAGTTCCTACCAGATGCAAAGCCAGTCCATACTCCCAGATACCAATACCTCTGACCCTCTGTTTCTGCGTGTCAGACGATTGCCTTTCCACGGCGATCCACAGCAAACTATTCAGCAAAACTCTCTGCGATCCAATCGAAAACTTTACATACTTCCACAGATATTTGCAGAAGTATTAAGTGTCACCTCACGCTATTTTCTGTAAGAAGGGCTACCTACCTTCAGCAGGAGCAGCCGAGCGAAGAAGGAACAAACGTTTGGGCTGGAGCCGGTTCGGGAGCGCTGAGCTCCAACGGCAGAGCGGCGGCCCCGGCGCTGCCCGGGGGTTGAGCGGGCGCAGGGCCGTTCGCTCCGCGGGCCGGGCTCCCCTCAGCGCGCCGGGGCAACGCCTGGGACCAGCGGCGCCTCTCCAGCACGGGCACTCCCGGGATCCTGGGCAGGACGCCCTCGCCCCGCGGGGTGCGGGGAGCCGGCCCGGCGCTGCTGCCCGCGCTCGGTGAGTACCTCCCGCGGGCCGGGCCGGACTGGACCGGCCTGAGCCTGCCCGAGCCCAACCCGCCCGGCGGTGAGGGGAGCACAGCACACGTGAGGGGGGCACAGCACAGCCCGATCCCGGCCGTGAGGGGGGCACAACACACGTGAGGGGGCACAGCACAGCCTGATCCCGGCCGTGAGGGGAGCACAGCACAGCCCCATCCCGGCCGTGAGGGGGGCACAGCACAGCCCCATCCCGGCCGTGAGGGGGGCACAGCACAGCCCCATCCCGGCCGTGAGGGGGGCACAACACACGTGAGGGGGGCACAGCACAGCCCCATCCCGGCCGTGAGGGGGGCACCGCATAGCTGCGCCTCCTGCCCGGCGCTGCCCGCTGTAGGACAAGGGCACCCACCGCCGCTCAGCGCCCCTCAGACATCACCGCCCCGGGGCGGCCCCAGCCGGCTCCTCCCTCCCTGGCGATTCGCTGCTCCCTCCCAGCATCTCGAACGCTCCTGTGCCGAAGTCTTCTCGCCAGATGTGTGCTGAGTACCTCCAGAATCTGGGGCGGAGGCACTTGATACTGCCTATTTAAACACCTTTGTTTAAACTGCACTTTGTCAATGTTATCGGACGTATTTTCTTCCTGTTTTGCCTTGCTATTTTTCGCCTATTAAGCAGCGCGATGTGCCATACCCGGAGCGCGGGGGAGGATCGCTGTGCCGTGCCCGGGTGGCAGCGGGTTCCGAGGCGGTGCTGCTCCCGCTGCAGCGCTGTGCACCCCGCAGGAGCCCGGCACTGCTCCGGGCAGCGATGAGCGCTCGCTGCCTTATTCCAGTGCCGCTAACGAGGAGGAGGCAGCGCGGCTTTGCCCCGCAGTGTCACGGGTGACCTCCTTTCAAAGGTCTGTCAGCGATAGCGCCTCCCCGCTATCGGTGTTCTGGTATTCATTCACGCTCGCGGCAAAATGGTTTTGTCGCCGCCCCTTTTTTCTCGCAGCGCTGCAGGCGCTGCCGATGCCGCATCGCACAGCTTGGCCGAAGAGATGTACAATTCCATTAACAGTTTTCTTCAGTCTGTCCTCTCAGCTGGTTTTGAGCACTGGACAATGAAATCAAAATACCGTAAACTTGTACTTTTACATTGTTTTTGAAAACACAGATCCCAAAGGGCTTTAAAGAGAATATTCAGGATAAAAAAGGAGCATTTGTTACCACCATGTTGCAGATGCATCTTATTGAGTTATCCTGGATTTCATTTTCCTTTTGTCATTATTCCCATACCTGTGAGATCGCAGAGGATCCGAAAGAAGCAGAGAGCTCCAGGTGGAGCCCCTGGTCTTGCATTAACTGCCCCAAGAGCCCAGGTGACTGTTGAGCTGTCACAGATTTTGTGGTGCAAAGAGATAAATCCTTTGGATTTTTACCTTTATGTTTCCCCATGAGTAGGAGTCTGTGTGCTCCTTGTAATGAGTGGTTAACTGTGGCACCAGTGGTGTCTCCACTTACTGCATAGAGAGATTTCACCCTGAATATATTAAAAACTACATATGCCTTCCTATTCTGTGGCAGTAGATGAGAAACTTATGTATTTAAGTGAGCACCTCTTTTAATAAATCAAAATTAGGCTTTTCATTAATCATACCTTAAAATAGTTTGGATGCCTCTGCACCATTGGGACTAAGAGGCTGGTGTCACTGAAGACTTACTCAGACTTATGCTCACATCTGCATCTGACGTTAGTGGCATTAATCCTTATTTAATTCTGGGAGGCTTTAGAAGTTAAATGCCATCACAGAAGAATTTGTGGAAAGGCTTGATTTTTGGGTCACATTTGTGGTTTGATTCTGAATTTGTCAAATGAAAAGCAATTTTCATTGGTCTTTGTAGTGGCAGCAGGACCAAACCTGAAGAGGAGAGAGCTGGGCTTATTGTATGTTCTACAAGGATGTTCTTATGGATTTTGACCCATATTCATGCCAATGCAATGACTGTTTACTGAAGGGAAAAAGCAATGGAGAAAACAGGCAGGAATTCTGCTGCTGCACTTTATTTTTTTTTTCATTTTCACTTGAGTAATTTTGTAGCTGTGCAATATATTTTTTCAAAAACTCTGCATGCTACTGTTTTGCAATGCTGGTTTCTAGCTCCTTTTAGCATGTGAGGCTGTAAGTTCTACTTTCTTACTGCCTTAATTTCATAAGGATTGGTAGTGAATTTCCTAAACCAACACTAATTTATTTTCCAGATGCAAACCTGGGACTGATGTTTTTTAAATGTTAACGGGCCCTAGAAGAATTAGAAGTGCATGATCAAAGTATCAGGTTAGTTGTCACCAGTTCTCTTTTTCATAAAAGCTCATTTTTTTCTATTACCATTTGCTTTTCCTTGTGGTCATGTCCTTTGGTTTATAAATTTATGTTTATTATTTGTTATTATAGGTTTATTAGATATATTATGGCTTATTGTATGAGTTTACCACCTCCTGGTAAAATAAACTCATACAATAAAGCAGTGTAAAGCTAAGAATTTCAGCTTTCCAGCAGAATTAAATATTTGATTCTGACTTTGAACATTCATGTGTTATCAACTTTTAAAATATCAGTGCTACATCCATTTGTCTTTGGAACTTCTTCAGCATAAGAAACACTTAATGCCTGATTCTAGATCAACACATTTTCTTAATCTCCACAGAGAAACTTTACAAGCAGTTCTGAGTGCTTGTTTCAGATGCTGAAGTGAGGGAGAGAAAGTCCCCTCCTGTAGTTCAGAATTTGCTCCTGGGAGAGTAATTTCTGAATGGCATGCATCCATTCAAGGGTTTTAGATGATTTATCCATATTACCTAATTTGCTCCTAATTAGCCTAAATTAAAGCGCTGTCCCTTCAGTTTGTGTTAATTTTAAAAGTGCAAACTACTTTAATTCCAAATGAGCACAACCAAACTGGGATTTTACAAGCTCACTGTTTTTGTCCAATCAAAAGTGTTATAAGTTTGTCACTGTTGACAAATTTGCAGATTTTGATGGTGAAAAGACTGATCCTTATTGAAATTACTGATAAAGCTCCTGATAATTTCCCCAAAAGTCTCCATCTCCGAGCCTGTTGATCACGTGTTAAGCAGCCCTTAAAGCAGAATTCCACAGGCAATAGTAAGTGTGATGGACAATTGATTTTACATGGAACAGGAGTAATATAACTCAGCTCTCAGCGCAAGTATTCCAATTAGAGTGGTTTTGCTTCCTGAGATAAATATTGCTTGTGTTCAAGGCTCTGGTTTTGAATATTTTCCTGGACACAGAAAAATACATGGTTCTCATTTCTTTTTTATTTGTGTTCTATTTATTTGTGTCCCATATGAAGTATGTGCTTCCATTAAGGTTACTCCAGATTTTCTTTTAAGTGAATTCTGATGAGAATTCCTATCTCAGATCCCTTATCTGAAAGGCAGGCTTTGATAAAATGTACACAGACCTAACTGTGTCTGTGATAAAAGTTAAATGTGGATGTGCTGCAGCAGAAAACAAAGATTACAGCAGACATTTCCTAAATTATTCTGGAGACCTGTTCTGGTGCACTCCAGTAGTTGAGTAGTGTTAGTTGAGTCTCTTTGACTTTTTGGCCTACTCAATTATATGCCTCTTAAACCCAAAGGTGCCATTTCTTGTTAAGAATCTCCTATTCTCTATTTATTGAACTGCTCTTTAAAACTCTGCTGAGACGTGGTCTGGTCACAGACTGCTGGTGAATAATCAGCTTTATAGTCTGCAAATCCATTTTAAACATCTGTTGAACAACACAAGTGTGAAACTTATTGCCAAATATGCCCTAGATGCTTCCCTTCTTCCCTAGAAGGAAGCCAGCTTTTTAAGTCTTTCAGCTTTGAGACAAAGCAACAAAATCACTTTATTGCACTAGGGTTGTATGTTATTTTAGCAAATAGGATGAGTTCCTGAAAGACCAATTAACCTTCATATAAATGGACCGTGCTGTGTTGCACAGTGCCCTTTGAAAGCTCTACTGAAGTTTGCTGATGCTTACAGTGGCTGCTCACAAGGATAATTAGATACTAAAATTATGATCCTTGGATATCCAAGAGGCTGTAAGGCCGTCTCAAGGGATCAAGGCCCTAGAGAAGGGAAGGTGATAACCTGAAATCTGAAGGGGAGGTAGAGCAGAGGTATTAACCAATACCATTAATTTTTATTTTGTTGACTGATAATAATATCCAATTTAGGAATAGTTGAATGCTTTCTAACAAGTGGAATGCTTCCTGACAAGTAAAGCACACTTTCAAAAGGTGGTTGATAAGTCATAGGTTGTTTCTTCATCCATAATTCCTTCTCCTAGGAGAATGAAGGATATAAGTAATCCCATGTCAATCCTGCTGAAAGCTTTGCTGCTGCCTAGCCAGCCTGCCTTAGCCAGTGCCTATTTCTTCTCTTTTGCATAAATAACATTCATAAGTTTTGCCTTCCTTTAAGAACTATTATGGCATTTTTGATACACGCATACCTGTATGTTTGCTTGGGGCCCAGAGAATTGGAGTGGAAGTCGATGGGATGAGGGATGGGCTGTTGCCTGTCATACAGGGAGCATGATCAGCAGTCCAGAAATGCAGTCCAGGGAGGTTGGGTTTAGTACTGTGGGGCAGAGGTTCCTGCAGCAGCAGATCTTACACAAATTTTGTTTATCCAAAATACTGCATTAATTTAATTACAGCTTGAATGATGTTTACTTCTGCTCATAAAGTCAAATAACATGTTATTGACTCTTCCTGGGTAATTTCATGGTTTCTTCTTCCTTTCCCGTGTCTCACCTGGACAGCTGAAACAGGTTTAACACTTTATATTGTTATTTGTTTCATGGACAGCAGAGGTGATTCTTACAGAAGAAAATGAGCTGTGTGCACTCTCATTAGAGAGAAATATGAATCCCATTTCTTCTGACTTCTCATACAAGTAGGTCTTCTGGGTTGGTGTTTCTAACACAAAATTGCTGGTTGCAATTTCTGTTTTGATAATAAATGGAAGAGAACAAACTCTTTGGGAATTGTCAGGTTCCAGGTGCTTTTTCTCAACAGCATTCTGGCTACTTAGGACTATGTGAGCAAGTGGAACTTCCCCAACAGCTCATTCTGTTGTCAGTGGACTGCATGCACAACATTCAACCTATAAAAGTTTCTTGAAGTTTTTATACTCTACTTTGCTACTAAGTGTATTTTGTGTGGACATTTAATTAGACATGGAAATACCCACATATCTATCCTTTTTTACATACAGATGTGTTTGGTGTATGCACACAGAAAGCTACTAAAATGTTCACTGTCAAGTGTAAGAGATGCAAGAATTATGAGTTAATATTCACAGATCAAGATATGTGAAGGTTTTGGGAGTCAAACAAATTACCTCCTGATGCATTCAGATTATTGCAGTGCATTTATTTACTCTAGAAATGTCTGAGTGGTCATACTTAAAAGATTTTGGAGAGCAGAATAAAGCAAAAGTTAATGAAAATAAAACATTTGCTTCTGAAAACTGCACATCATGAAATATTCATATTTGTTCTACAGACAAGATGTATTTTATAGAGAGGAGTAAATAATTCTGTCAAAGCACTGCAGCATGGTGTGCACTGATTAACACTGGAATGTAAATGTTTGACATAATCAGAAGTGATACTATTTTGGAATAGCGGATATTTATAGTTTTGACCAAAAACATTGATTCCTAAAGATTAAGGATATGTCACAGGGACATTTCTCTCAGGATTTTTCATAGAGGAGCACAGAGAGAAATGTCCTTGTGACAAGGGTGTCCTGCCAGCATTCTGTGGGGTCTCTGCTGGTGACTAGATTAAGAACTGGAAAAGTACATTCCTGTTTCATTTCTTTTACAAATATTTTCACCATGAGAAACATTTGCTACTTTAAATGCTCTGAATATACTCAGCATTCTTTTCTGGTTTTGTCTCTGCTCATTGCTACCACTTATTAAAATTATTTTTAGTAGGATTAGTTGTCATGTTTCAAAAATAAGTAATTACCTTTAATTTTGTTTCTTTTCTGGAAAGATTGCCCAACTTCTGGTGCACTGCTACTTTAGACTGCTGTTAAATAGAGCCATTAGTGTCACCTGACTTCTTTCCTTCTTTGCCTGTCAGCTGTATTACAGACTGTCTGTGCTGAAGGAAATGCTCTTGGTGATGGAGTAGCATAGAAGGAAGTGTTCGCATCTGCTCTTAAAGGAGCTCCTGATTTCTTCCTGCTGCACAATCCCCATGTGGTTTTAGAGAAGACATTAATCTGCATCAAAGTTTTCTTAATCCCAATCTTTTGAAATTCAGCTCAATGTGTATTAGGCTGGAATACTGTATCACTCAGATGCTGAAATTCTTTGTTGTATCTTGTGTGGTTGTTTAGGGATGTCATTTTTTCCCCTCTCATATAGTCTAGATTGTCAACAAACTATGCTGCAATAAAATGCTCTAGGAATGCAATTATTTTGCTGCTCTAAAGGAAATTGCAGTACTGCTAATTTGCAAATGAATATAATTAGAAATTCTTCTGTTAAAAATCTTGTAGTATTGATCTCACAAGCCAAGTCCTTGCTCAGGGTATTCTTTTGAACAGGAGAAGAAGTGAAGAGGCAGTAATTGCAGCTGTGATGATCTGTGGTTAATTTGAAACACTTTCAAAAACATCTCAAAAGGTTTCTGAAAATCAAGGTGAGTTGGAGATAAAATACCAAAGTTGCTTATGAAAATAGCATTTAAGAACCTGAAACATCTGGAATGCAGACTTCTAAATGTGCTTCTCTTACCTTCAAAATGGTTTCGGCACAGAGCTGTAGACACAGAATTAATTTTTCAAACTGTGGACTCTAAATTATACCTAGAAAACTTATAAAATGTAAACTGTGTTATCTTTATGCCTTTCTTTGTTTAAGAGCTATCTGAAGTCTGTTCATGGATGCATTCAGATTTCAGGGGCCTGTGGGGATTTTGCAGCAGAAGGGATACAGAAGGGAGTGTATTGTTTTGTCATGTTCTTTTCTTCCTCACTAAGCTTCCTTTTAGTCCTGCCTTCTGATAAGTATCTTAAAAGGAACAATCCTAATGAAGGGACTGAGCCTCAGGTGCCAGAGGTTTTTATGGTGAGCCTGGTTCCTTTTGTTAGGCTGGAAGAGATAAGGAACTCAGTCTCCAGTAGAATTGCTGTGTAAGCTCACACCAGGTTCATACAGTCCATCTAGTTAAGTTCATTCAACAGAAGTAAGAAAATCAAATAAATAGCAAATTTAAGCTCCCTGTGGCCTGGCACTAA